ATATATAGTTTGTAGCAAGCCCATACCGGTGGGTTTCAATTGTGACTCGGGTTTAGAATTTAGTACAGAAGCCCAGAGCTGTGTAATTCCATCGCAGTCGGATTGTGGTCTTAGCATTAGTACTACTTCCGCGCCAGCCACTACTAAACCTTATAATCAATGTACCAATAAACCAGATTTTACTCTTCTACCCGTTGAGTCGGATTGCGGCATGTTTATAATCTGTAAACAAGATATGGAGCATTGGGCCTTCTGTAATGAGGGTGAATATTTTGATTTATCGGCCGGTAAATGTTTAAAATCTGCCAATGAATATTCCTGCCATCCTGCCACCACTACCGAACCCACCACCACTACCACGCAAGATCCTACCTAGGACCCTGCTACAATAAACCCGACGGTTCAAAAATTCCCTATCCTCATAATTGCACGAAATATATTATATGTCAAGAACCTTTAAATGTGGGATATGATTGCCCGGAGGGTTTGGAATTTTCGGCGCATTACGAAGAATGTGTTTTACCTGAATTGGCTGATTGTAGTATAAAAACTACAACTCCTACCACACCCACCACCACCGAGAAAACTACCACACCAACCGCAATAGAGACCTGTGAGAATAAACCTAATGGAGCCACATTGCCCTATCCCGAAGATTGCTCTAAGTACTATATGTGTCTAAATGGTCGGGAGAAATTAGTCAATTGTATGCCTAATAGTTACTATGATCCCGCTACAGGAGAGTGTGGTAATGATATATCACCCACAGCTTGTCAGGGCCCGGTAAATACCACGCCCCAAATTCCCCAAGGTCCCTGTAGTGATGAATCTAATGGCTATACCTTTGCCAATAAACAAAATTGTTCTCTCTACTATATGTGTTTAGACCAATCGGAAGTATTGTGTTTATGTCAAAGTAACAACTACTACAATCCCTATAATGGAGAATGTGATAGCGAAGCCTCAGATACGGAATGTAAAAATCCCCTAACTACAACGCCCACAGAGCCAACAACAACCGAAGTTACCACCACTAAACCAGGACCCTCAGGTGATAATATATGTTGCGGTCAAAAGGCCGGTACTTATTTACCTTATCCGGGAGATAAAACACAATATGTTATATGCCAATATCCCCTGCCAATAGTCAACACCTGTCCCGAGAGAGTATATTCGATGAGAAGACCTTGAGCTGTAAACACTCTAAGACATTTGCCATAACAAAACCAAATTGTGATGAGTCCAACTTTGGGCGTAGCATGGTCTATGAAGGTGAATGTACGAAATATTATTTCTGTTTTGGTTCGGAGGCCATAATCATGAATTGCAGTTTCGATTGGTATTTCGATCCGGCAATAAATCAATGTGTACCTCAGGAGCAGTACCAATGTCCCTGGTAAGGGAACGGGCAAAAAAAAATAATAATAATAGAAAAATAACTTAAGTTTAAAGCGAAATTAAATAAATATTAATTGAACAGCAAAATTTTGGAGTTTTATATCTTAATTATACTGTAGACCAAAGATAGAAACTATACTTCAAATTAGACTAAACACCAGACTATAAATAAGACTGTAACAGAAATTGGATCATAATCCATTTTATAAACTAAACTACACACTAGAACATAGGCTAAAGTATAAACTAGACTATAGACTATACCGTGGAACAGACTGTAAATAATGTATAGTTTATCTGGCTGATTTACTTTTCATTCGCACACTGACATCGGTGGTAATTTAATCAATGAAATGTAATTTAAAAATTGTTACTTTTAATTTAATTTAAATTTAGAAATAAATACGATAAATTTTCGCCAAATAAGAGTGTTAAGAATCACTTGTCTCTACCACTTCTGACAAGTCCGCTGTCAACAGTTTTTACCGTTATCTAAATTGAAAATAAAAACACTGTTATCAGTAGAAATATAATTAAAGAAGTACAAATCTAATTTCAAGGGAAAGTTTTCAAACAATTTAGCAGAAAAATAACAAAATAAGTTGAATGATTCAAAGACCTTCGATATCTTAGGAGTTAAATGTCATAAAATTTATGAGAAATTGCTTTCAATTAATTCCTGTCAATTCTTTATCCCTGTATTCTCTGTGATGATAGAATAGAACTAGAACTGAACTAAAACTAAACTAGAACTGCACTAGAACTGAACTAGAACTAAACTTGAACTAGAACTGAACTAGAACTGAACTAGAACTGAACTAGAACTGAACTAGAACTGAACTAGAACTGAACTAGAACTGAACTAGAACTGAACTAGAACTGAACTAGAACTGAACTAGAACTGAACTAGAACTGAACTAGAACTGAACTAGAACTAAACTAGAACTGAACTAGAACTGAACTGAACTAGAACTGAACTAGAACTGAACTAGAACTGAACTAGAACTGAACTAGAACTGAACTAGAACTGAACTAGAACTGAACTAGAACTGAACTAGAACTGAACTAGAACTGACTAGAACTGAACTAGAACTGAACTAGAACTGAACTAGAACTGAACTAGAACTGAACTAGAACTGAACTAGAACTGAACTAGAACTGAACTAGAACTGAACTAGAACTGAACTAGAACTGAACTAGAACTGAACTAGAACTGAACTAGAACTGAAGTAGAACTGAAGTAGAACTGAAGTAGAACTGAACTAGAACTGAACTAGAACTGAACTAGAACTGAACTAGAACTGAACTAGAACTGAACTAGAACTGAACTAGAACTGAACTAGAACTGAACTAGAACTGAACTAGAACTGAACTAGAACTGACTAGAACTGAACTAGAACTGAACTAGAACTGAACTAGAACTGAACAAGAACTGAACTAGAACTGAACTAGAAATGAACTAGAACTGAACTAGAACTGAACTAGAACTGAACTAGAACTGAACTAGAACTGAACTAGAACTGAACTAGAAACTGAACTAGAACTGAACTAGAACTTGAACTAGAACTGAACTAGAACTGAACTAGAACTGAACTAGAACTGAACTAGAACTGAACTAGAACTGAACTAGAACGAACTAGAACTGAACTAGAACTGAACTAGAACTGAACTAGAACTGAACTAGAACTGAACTAGAACTGAACTAGAACTGAACTAGAACTGAACTAGAACTGAACTAGAACTGAACCTAGAACTGAACTAGACTGAAACTAGAATAACTAGAACTACTAGAACTGAACTAGAACTGAACTAGAACTGAACTAGAACTGAACTAGAACTGAACTAGAACTGAACTGAAATGACCTAGAACTGAACTAGAACTGAACTAGAACTGAACTAGAACTGAACTAGAACTGAACTAGAAAGAACTGAACTAGAACTAGACTGAACAGAACTGAACTAGAACTGAACTAGAACTGAACTAGAACGAACTAGATGAACAGACTGAACTAGAACTGAACAGAAATGCTGAACTAGAACTGAACTAGAACTGAACTAGAACTGAAACTAGAACTGAACTACTGAACTAGAACTGAACTAGAACTGAACTAGAACTGAACTAGAACTGAACTAGAACTGAACTAGAACTGACTAGAACTGAACTAGAACTGAACTAGAACTGAACTAGAACTGAACTAGAACTGAACTAGAACTGAACTAGAACTGAACTAGAACTGAACTAGAAATGAACTAGACTAAACTGAACTAGAACTGAACTAGAACTGAACTAGAACTGAACTAAAACTGAACTAAAACTGAACTAGAACTGAACTAGAACTGAACTAGAACTGAACTAGAACTGAACTAGAACTGAACTAGAACTGAACTAGAACTGAACTAGAACTGAACTAGAACTGAACTAGAACTGAACTAGAACTGAACTAGAACTGAACTAGAAATGAACTAGAACTGAACTAGAACTGAACTAGAACTGAACTAGAACTGAACTAGAACTGAACTAGAACTGAACTAGAACTGAACTAGAACTGAACTAGAACTGAACTAGAACTGAACTAGAACTGAACTAGAACTGAACTAGAACTGAACTAGAACTGAACTAGAACTGAACTAGAACTGAACTAGAACTGAACTAGAACTGAACTAGAACTGAACTAGAACTGAACTAGAACTGAACTAGAACTGAACTAGAACTGAACTAGAACTGAACTAGAACTGAACTAGAACTGAACTAGAACTTAACTAGAAATGAACTAGAAGTGAACTAGAACTAAACTAGAACTGAAGTAGAACGGAACGGAAGGAGGATTAAACTGGAACTGATGTAGAATTGAACTTTCAACATACTCGTTGAAACAAATCTCGGGCATAACACTTGTGGAGTAACGTGGATTATTCCCATTTTCTGATCAAACGATTTTGTTTGTTGTGTATAGTAAGTAGATATATAGTATTAATCATGACTATATCATACATATCATATCATTATATTTAATTGTACAGTTTTTGTAATGTACAAACAAGATAAAGAATATTATTATTGGTAACTAATTTTTATCATTAGAAAGAAAACATCTTATTGATCACCACATATTACTTTGAAATAAAAAACGCAATAGATATATATTTTTGGCAACAAATTTCGTATATAAGGCCAAAGATTTACGCAGACATCAAGTCAGTTTAAAACTAAAAGGTGGAGATAAAATGTGGCGGAATAAAGGTAAAAATTTCTTCAAATGATCAATTCAGGTTATTAATCTTAATGGCTTGTTTGTTACAGTATTTTTGGTTCTTTTAATTTGTTGTTATAACGCGAGATTTGGTAACTCACAGGGATTACCTAGTCCCAACCTATTAACAGATGTGGAATTGAAAGAGGTAGGTATGTATATCGAAGTTTTCAATTATATATGTTTAACGTTTGAATAAATTTTAATACATTTCATTGCTCCCCTTTCGCTAGCTTTGTCAAGGAATTGAATTTCAATATATTGCCCATCCCAGTAATCAACAAAGTTATATAATATGTATACCAGGGGGTGGGGTCGAAAAACAGTGTGATCCCAATAATTGTTTGATGAACGCAAGCCACCCTGCTCCACCACCTGTATGCCAATACAAATGTACCCGATCAAAAAACCAAAGATTATTGCAATGATGATGATACCCCCTTATTGGATCGTGTGGCTAATGATAAAGATTGTGATTCCTATTTCCTGTGTGTGGGTAAAAGTGTTGATCCTCTGGCACAAAAATGTCCACCAAATCAACATTTTTCCGAAAAACACAAAACTTGTATGAGCTATCATGAAGCCAATTGTGCTGCCAGTTCGAAATGGTGTAAAAAATCGTCGCGATAATACACGATTTCCCAAGGACAACTGCTACGAATACTATGAATGTCAATCGGAGATTACGCTGACAAAAAACTTGCGCCTACGGTAAGCATTTCGATAAAGACTTAGATCAATGTGTAAGTGGTATTTGTCAAGATGATAAGAGAGTTCCGGATTGTAAAAATGAAAAGGATGGTTTCCGTATGCCTCATTCCAAATGTTATAAATATTTTGGTGCTTGAACCAATCTCTGTTCGAGGTTCAATGTGCCAACGGTTACTATTTGAAAGCGATCGCGGTGTGTGTAGAAAGATACTTATAATGTCTGTAGATGATGATTAAATAAAGAAATTTGCTGTAATTTCTTAATTGTTCATTCTAGTTTATTTCTCGTCCAGTTCTAGTTCTGTTCTAGTTCTGTTCTAGTTCTGTTCTAGTTCTGGTTCTAGTTCTGTTCAAGTTCTGTTCTAGTTCTGTTCTAGTTCTGTTCTAGTTCTGTTCTAGTTCTGTTCAAGTTCTGTTCTAGTTTCTGTTCTAGTTCTGTTGTAGTTCTGTTCTAGTTCTGTTCTAGTTCTGTTCTAGTTCTGTTCTAGTTCTGTTCTAGTTTTCGTTCTAGTTCTGTTCTAGTTCTGTTCTAGTTCTGTTCTAGTTCTGTTCTAGTTCTGTTCTAGTTCTGTTCTAGTTCTGTTCTAGTTCTGTTTCTAGTTCTTCCTGTTCTAGTTCTTTCTAGTTCTGTTTAGTTCTGTTCTAGTTCTGTTCTAGTTGTTCTAGTTCTGTTCTAGTTCTGTTCTAGTGCTGTTCTAGTTCTTGTTCTAGTTCTGTTCTAGTTCTGTTCTAGTTCTGTTCTAGTTCTGTCTATTCTGTTCTAGTTCTGTTCTAGTTCTGTTCTAGTTCTGTTCTAGTTCTGTTCTAGTTCTGTTCTAGTTCTGTTCTAGTTCTGTTCTAGTTCTGTTCTAGTTCTGTTCTAGTTCTGTTCTAGTTTGTTCTAGTTCTGTTCTAGTTCTGTTCTAGTTCTGTTCTAGTTCTGTTCTAGTTCTGTTCTAGTTCTGTTCTAGTTATGTTTCGTTCTGTTCTAGTTCTGTTCTAGTTCTGTTCTAGTTCTGTTCTAGTTCTGTTCTAGTTCTGTTCTAGTTCTGTTCTAGTTCTGTTCTAGTTCTGTTCTAGTTCTGTTCTAGTTCTGTTCTAGTTCTGTTCTAGTTCTGTTCTAGTTCTGTTCTAGTTCTGTTCTAGTTCTGTTCTAGTTCTGTTCTAGTTCTGTTCTAGTTCTGTTCTAGTTCTGTTCTAGTTCTGTTCTAGTTCTGTTCTAGTTCTGTTCTAGTTCTGTTCTAGTTCTGTTCTAGTTCTGTTCTAGTTCTGTTCTAGTTCTGTTCTAGTTCTGTTCTAGTTCTGTTCTAGTTCTGTTCTAGTTCTGTTCTAGTTCTGTTCTAGTTCTGTTCTAGTTCTGTTCTAGTTCTGTTCTAGTTCTGTTCTAGTTCTTTCTAGTTCTGTTCTAGTTCTGTTCTAGTTCTGTTCTAGTTCTGTTCTAGTTCTGTTCTAGTTCTGTTCTAGTTCTGTTCTAGTTCTGTTCTAGTTCTGTTCTAGTTCTGTTCTAGTTCTGTTCTAGTTCTGTTCTAGTTCTGTTCTAGTTCTGTTCTAGTTCTGTTTCTAGTTCTGTTCTAGTTCTGTTTAGTTCTGTTCTAGTTCTGTTCTAGTTCTGTTCTAGTTCTGTTCTAGTTCTGTTCTAGTTCTGTTCTAGTTCTGTTCTAGTTCTGTTCTAGTTCTGTTCTAGTTCTGTTCTAGTTCTGTTCTAGTTCTGTTCTAGTTCTGTTCTAGTTCTGTTCTAGTTCTGTTCTAGTTCTGTTCTAGTTCTGTTCTAGTTCTGTTCTAGTTCTGTTCTGTTCTAGTTCTGTTCTAGTTCTGTTCTAGTTCTGTTCTAGTTCTGTTCTAGTTCTGTTCTAGTTCTGTTCTAGTTCTGTTCTAGTTCTGTTCTAGTTCTGTTCTAGTTCTGTTCTAGTTCTGTTCTAGTTCTGTTCTAGTTCTGTTCTAGTTCTGTTCTAGTTCTGTTCTAGTTCTGTTCTAGTTCTGTTCTAGTTCTGTTCTAGTTCTGTTCTAGTTCTGTTCTAGTTCTGTTCTAGTTCTGTTCTAGTTCTGTTCTAGTTCTGTTCTAGTTGTTCTAGTTCTGTTCTAGTTCTGTTCTAGTTCTGTTCTAGTTCTGTTCTAGTTCTGTTCTAGTTCTGTTCTAGTTCTGTTCTAGTTCTGTTCTAGTTCTGTTCTAGTTCTGTTCTAGTTCTGTTCTAGTTCTGTTCTAGTTCTGTTCTAGTTCTGTTCTAGTTCTGTTCTAGTTCTGTTCTAGTTCTGTTCTAGTTCTGTTCTAGTTCTGTTCTAGTTGTTCTAGTTCTGTTCTAGTTCTGTTCTAGTTCTGTTCTAGTTCTGTTCTAGTTCGTTTCTAGTTCTGTTCTAGTTCTGTTCTAGTTCTGTTCTAGTTCTGTTCTAGTTCTGTTCTAGTTCTGTTCTAGTTCTGTTCTAGTTCTGTTCTAGTTCTGTTCTAGTTCTGTTCAGTTCTGTTCAGTTCTGTTCTAGTTGTTCTAGTCTGTTCTAGTCTGTTCTAGTTCTGTTCTAGTTCTGTTCTAGTTCTGTTCTAGTTCTGTTCTAGTTCTGTTCTAGTTCTGTTCTAGTTCTGTTCTAGTTCTGTTCTAGTTCTGTTCTAGTTCTGTTCTAGTTCTGTTCTAGTTCTGTTCTAGTTCTGTTCTAGTTCTGTTCTAGTTCTGTTCTAGTTCTGTTCTAGTTCTGTTCTAGTTCTGTTCTAGTTCTGTTCTAGTTCTGTTCTAGTTCTGTTCTAGTTCTGTTCTAGTTCTGTTCTAGTTCTGTTCTAGTTCTGTTCTAGTTCTGTTCTAGTTCTGTTCTAGTTCTGTTCTAGTTCTGTTCTAGTTCTGTTCTTCTAGTTCTGTTCTAGTTCTGTTCTAGTTCTGTTCTAGTTCTGTTCTAGTTCTGTTCTAGTTCTGTTCTAGTTCTGTTCTAGTTCTGTTCTAGTTCTGTTCTAGTTCTGTTCTAGTTCTGTTCTAGTTCTGTTCTAGTTCTGTTCTAGTTCTGTTCTAGTTCTGTTCTAGTTCTGTTCTAGTTCTGTTCTAGTTCTGTTCTAGTTCTGTTCTAGTTCTGTTCTAGTTCTGTTCTAGTTCTGTTCTAGTTCTGTTCTAGTTCTGTTCTGTTCTGTTCTAGTTCTGTTCTAGTTCTGTTCTAGTTCTGTTCTAGTTCTGTTCTAGTTCTGTTCTAGTTCTGTTCTAGTTCTGTTCTAGTTCTGTTCTAGTTCTGTTTTAGTTCTGTTTAGTTCTGTTCTAGTTCTGTTCTAGTTCTGTTCTAGTTCTGTTCTAGTTCTGTTCTAGTTCTGTTCTAGTTCTGTTCTAGTTCTGTTCTAGTTCTGTTCTAGTTCAGATCTATTCTGTTCTAGTGCAGTTCTAGTTCTGTTCTAGTTCTGTTCTAGTTCTGTTCTAGTTCTGTTCTAGTTCTGTACTAGTTCTGTTCTAGTTCAGATCTAATTCTGTTCTAGTTCTGTTCTTGTTCAAATAATTTCCAAAAATTTGTAAAACTGATATATTTAAGGACCCGTTAATAAAAAATACATATATTAAAATGGGCCGAGTTTATCTTTTTAGAATTTTGACAAAAAGAAATCTTAATTTGTAACACAAACACGATCACAAGTATTTAAGACAGCATTCCAAAATAGATTATCCGGACAGGTGTGATATAACTCCAACCATTGCACTGTATAAATTTGTGACAATCATGAGGATGTGGTAAATATTGATGAAGATAACCATCACACAAATGTTGACATTCTGGGCAGTCTAGCAGGGGATTTTCAGTTACAACTATGGGTTGACCTATGGTGGGAGTAGGGTAGGAGGGGCAGTAAAAGCAGTCGGTACAGCAATAGTATTAGGTTGCGTTACGGGCGGTAATTGAGTCTGCCAGGGACACTGGGCCAATTGAGGTAAATCACATTGCTGTGAGCGATAATTCCAATGGTAATTGGCTGAACAGAGCATAGCCTGACATTGATAGTATTTAGAGCAGTCATTAGGATAGACTTGAGCAAACATTTCAGCGGAATTGGTTGTTAAGGGAGGTGTGGAGGGTTGCTGTGGATTTGAGTTCACGGTTAAGCCTATAGCTGTTGATACTCCCACCATGAAGGGACAGTGAGCATTATGAGGAAAATCACATGCCTGAGTTAAAGCATTCCAATGATAGTTTGTGGGACAGGCCATAGCCTGACATTTATAGTATTTGCTGCAATCATTGGGTAACAGCTGATATTATCTCGCCTGTTGGAGAGGCGGTTAAGTAAGGCGGAACTATGGTGGCTGCTGTTGGAGGAGTGTTTAAAATTCCCGTTTCACATTTGGCTATCTCAGGATAGTCACAACGATAAGTTAAAGGACTCCAGTATAAGTTATTGGGACATTGCTGCAAATAGGCATTACCATTGGAACAGCTGTAGTATTTCGAGCAATCCTGAGGATAAGGCAACATTACAGCGTGATTGACATCATCAATAAGGGGACAATCCGTATGTGGAATAGGGGAGGCCTAGAAATTGAAGTTTAAAGTTTCAGGAGAACTCAGTGTAAAGGTAACACTTACCCCGTTTTCCAGGGCCAAACTGCCATTGATTAAAATCAAACTAAGTAGAACTTTCCTAAAAGAAAACATTTTCTTTAACCGTGCAATAGTAGTTGCAAGAAGTGGTGAAAAATAACTGAAAATTCTTAATCTCATTCAGCCCTTTTATATCTTAATTGAAAATCCCTTTATTTGATATTTCATTTCAAACTACCTTGAACTAAGATGTTAACTTGACCAAGATAAATTTACATTTCTTTTCCACTTCAACTGAATCAGGGTTAAAAGAATTGTCTTTATTGTTTATTTACTTATAAGGAATGTTTTGGTCAGCACTGTAATCTTAAAATTGATAAAAGTACTTATTATCTGCGAATTGTAAAGAACACTTTCTGAAAAGTTTAAAAAACAATGTGAAGTATTTGTTTGTGTATGATATGAAAACGATTCTAAAGAAATTACATTAATGATTTTCAAATTCCTGGGAATTAATGGCAAATAAAGGAAACAAAAGACAACAGAGACATTAACATCATGGTGGGGGCAAAACCCCACAGTTCTAGGTCAGTTTTAATTTATTTCTAGTTCAGTTCTAGTTCTGTTCCAGTTCTGTTCTAGTTCTGTTCTAATTGTGTTCTTTCTAGTTCAGTTCTAGTTCTGTTCTAGTTCTATTCTAGTTCTGTTCTAGTTCTGTTCTAGTTTTGTACTAGTTCTGTTCTAGTTCTGTTCTAGTTCTGTTCTAGTTCTGTTCTAGTTCTGTTCTAGTTCTGTTCTGTTCTAGTTCTGTTTCGTTCTAGTTCTGTTCTAGTTCTGTTCTAGTTCTGTTCTAGTTCTGTTCTAGTTCTGTTCTAGTTCTGTTCTACTTCTGTTCTAGTTCTGTTCTAGTTCTATTCTAGTTCTGTTCTAGTTCTGTTCTAGTTCTGTTCTAGTTCTATTCTAGTTCTATTCTAGTTCTGTTTTAGTTTTGTTCTAGTTTTGTTCTAGTTCTGATCTAGTTCTGTTCTAGTTCTGTTCTAGTTCTGTTCTAGTTCTGTTCTAGTTCTGTTTTAGTTCTGTTCTAGTTCTGTTCTAGTTCTGTACTAGTTCTGTTCTAGTTCTGTTCTAGTTCTGTTCTAGTTCTGTTCTAGTTCTAGTTCTGTTCTAGTTCTGTTCTAGTTCTGTTCTAGTTCTGTTCTAGTACTGTTCTAGTTCTGTTCTAGTTCTGTTCTAGTTCTGTTCTAGTTCTGTTCTAGTTCTGTTCTAGTTCTGTTCTAGTTCTGTTCTAGTTCTGTTTCTAAGTTCTGTTCTAGTTCTGTCCTAGTCTGTTCTAGTTTCTGTTCTAGTTCTGTTCTAGTTTCTGTTCTAGTTCTGTTCTAGTTCTGTTTCTAGTTCTGTTCTAGTTCTTGTTCTAGTTCTGTTCTAGTTCGTTCTAGTTCAGTTCTAGTTCTGTTCTGTTCTGTTCTAGTTCTGTTTCTAGTTCTGTTCTAGTTTCTAGTTCTGTTCTAGTTCTGTTCTAGTTCTGTTCTGGTTCTGTTCTAGTTCTGTTCTAGTTCTGTTCTAGTTCTGTTTCTAGTTCTGTTCTAGTTCTGTTCTAGTTCTGTTCTAGTTCTGTTCTAGTTCTGTTCTAGTTCAGTTCTAGTTACTGTTCTAGTTCATTCTAGTTCTATTCTAGTTCTGTTCTAGTTCTGTTCTTTATTTAATTTCTATTTAAAACCATATCATATAGTTTAGTTATATCAAGGGATTTTTTATTGAAAAAATAAACTTTCGATTTATAATCATTGTTTTAAATAAGTAACAATTCCGTTAAATATTCTCTAGTTTCTTTCCCAATATCGATCCTTAAACGATTTAATTTCTAAACTGGCAAAGTTGTGTCTGTAGGACAATCACCCTTAACGCATGAACCCAACTGTGCCTCCCAATAATGTAAGTCGGGACATTGAGAACGTTGGGTAGACCATCTATACATTCTATGAAACGGCTACAATCACTGGGATCCGCATGATACTCCCTGCTGTTGCTTAGGCAAACATTGGGCCTTAGAGAAGTTGATGCAATTACAGAAGATGTTTTTATAAAGGTCGTTGCAGTAGCTTCCTTAGTAGTTGAGGTTGTGGCGGAGAAGAATTTGGAATAGATGCGGTAGCTTCATTGGGAGTGGTATTACCTGCTGTTGAACCATGCTCGGTAGTTGCTTTATTTGTAGTGGAATCACTTTTGGAAGTTGATGCCTTTGTAGTTGATTCTGAGGATCCTTGGAAGTACTTTCCGAAGATCCTTGGGAAATTGTTGTCGCCGAGGAAGTATCACTTTCGGAAGTTGTGGTTTCTGTAGTATCACGTTCGGTAGTTGACTTATCGCTGGTTGTTTCGGTGTTTTCATTAGGTGTGGTTGACTCAGAGGTAATGTCACTTACGGTTGTCTCACCTTCTGTGGATGCTCGAGAAGTTGTTGTCCCAGAAGAAGAACTACTTTTGGAAGTTGTTGAGGAGTTATTATCGCTTTCCGTCGATTCATTAGATCTAGTTGATTCCGATGACGACTCACTAACAGTCGATTCATTTGTAGTGGTTTCACCTTCCGTCGAACCCTTAGATGTATTTGGTTCTGTGGACGATCCATTTGCAGTGGATTCATTTGAAGTTGTTTCACTTTCCGTTGTTCCATTCGATGTTGTTGACTCGTTAGTAGAACCACTATTGGAAGTTGTTCTATCGGTAGTTATTTCTGTAGATTCCTGAGGAGTAGTTGTTTCTGAAGAAGAACCATTTTCAGTTGTATCGCTTCCAGTAGATTCCTGGGAAGTTGTGGTCTGGAAAGAAGAACTACTCGTCCATGTTGTTGACCCACTTGGTTAGCATCGTTGGTGGTGGTAGTTTCACTTTCTGTGGATCCTTTCGAAATTGTTGTCCCTGCTGTTGTGTAATGACAATGACTACTACCTATGGTACAGGCTACAATTTCTTGATTCCAATAAGTACCATCGGGACACTTGATAATGACCTCTTGACCATTGATACACTGTATATAATTCACAATTCGATGAGCTGTCAACATCACCTTCTTCACAGCCTACAGCTGTAGATGCCAATGTCGATTGTGTACTAGTCTCAGAAGGATTTTTAGAGGTCTCCTCGGTAGCAGGAGTTGAGGATCCTGATTCAGTAGTTTGTGCAGAAACTTCTGATGTAGAGGAAGTCTCAGTTGAAAATTCCTTGGAAGTGGTAATTACAGTTGTGACTGTGGTTTTCCAAGATGTTGAAGCTTCGGAGCTTGTGCTCGAATTTCGGTGGAGCTGTCTTTAGAAGTTGTACTTTCTGTTGAAGAGCTGCTCCTGAAGTTGTGGATATTTCTTCGGGATTTTTAGATGTTTCCTCTGAGAAGGAAGTTGAAGATTCTGTTGCATCAGTCGTTCATTAGGAGCCTCGGAGGAAATTGGTTTTTTCTGAAGTGCTTGAAATATCGCTGGACGTTCTTGAGAAGTAGTAATATCTGTTGAAGCAGAATTGTGGTAATTTCTTCAGGATTTTTCGAACTTTCCTCAGTAGAGTACGTTGAAGTTCCAGTTGCACTGCTCGTTTCAGACGGAGAATCTGAGGAAGAGGAAATTTCGGTAGAAGTGGTGGCCTCAGTTGAGGAGGCGGCTTCCGTTGATGATGTTTCCTCTGAACTAGTTGTTTTTGTGGTTTCAATGGGTATTTCTGAGGAGACAGAAGTTTCAGTTGAGGGCTCTTCGGATGCTGTAACATCTGTTAAAGTTGAAGCTTCTGAAGTTTGTGGAAATTTCTGTTGATTGGTTTTCAGTAGTTGTTGCTTCTGTTGGACATGGAAGTGGGGTTGTTTGTTGATGGAGACTCTGTAGTTGTTACACTGCTTGTTTCGGCTCTACAGTAGTTGTTAACTTCAGTTGGACATGGAGGCGGTGATGTTGTTGAAGGAGACTCCGTGGTAGTTTCTGGCTCTTCAGTAGTTGTAGATTCCGTGGGACATGAGGGAGGGGATGCTGTTGAAGGAGACTCGGTGGTAGTTTCTGCTCCTCTGTAGTTGTTGCTTCTGTAAGACATGGAGGTTCAGTCGAAGTTTCTTTGGCTATTGTGGTATCTGAAACTTTCGGTTGTAGTTTCCACTGGAATTTCCTTCGTAAGTCGTTCTATCCGTTGAATATTTTTCCCTAGAAGTTGTAGTTTGTAACGCTGTGGTCGTTATAACCTCTGTAGTAGTTGTCGGCTTTGTCGTTGTTCCTATCTGTTCACTACAATGAAGTCCCGACCACTGACAGGTCAATCGCTGTTGATTCCAATACAAAGGAATGGCACACTTCTGTCTATAAGGTATGCCATTGCTGCATTGTATAAAATACTGACAATCGTTAGGATCAGCATGGTATTGCCCACCTTGATTGCACACATTTTCCACAATTTCCCCACTAAATAAACTTCTATGCAGCGAATATCCTTCGGCGCTCCATAAAAACCCAATAACCATTTAAAATTATTAAATTACTTAACATTTTTCCAAAACACTTGATAGTTTTACGCGGCTGAAAACTTAACCGTTTAAAGTTATTTGCTAAACTGCATATTTTTACATGATTTTCGTTCAAATTTATTAAATTTTTGTCGTTAGTAAACAGAGAAAAGTTGTTAATAAAAAAGTAAATTAGTCAATAAAAGTAGTTTTTTCCGTTATCTATATAGTGAAGAGTTTTTTTTTTTCGGGGTAAATAAATAAACTGCATTTTACAGAGAATTAAACAGCAATACTTGCTAATTTGTTGCTTTTGTAATAGATGTAACATAGTTTTTAAACAATTTGACATAACAGGAAATACATTTTCTTGAACAGTGACAAATAATTAACAAATACCCCACAATACTTAATTAATAATCATATTTGCCAAACAAATAATTTCACTTTACAAAACTAATATTAAAATAGACAAAGTCTGATAAATGCTACAGAATTTTGTTTTAATAATTTATAAGTTTAAACAATTAAAATATATATTTTCAGCCTTAAAATATGTTCTAATTAATGTTTTAACAAAAACTTGTAAAATATATTCGTTATCGACTTTAATTAATTGATTTTGATATAACTTATTTTGACACTTAATGGCTTTCAGTCGACAATGCTGAAGTAGAAATTTTTATCTAAAAAATTTATTTTAGTTCTAAAAAAAGCTTTTCTAACAAAGTCGGATATTTTTAACGTATTTTTTTTTTTTCGATAATTAAATACTATTCGATTTAGTAATTGAGACCCTCTCTATTCAGTTGTACTTCAGTTCTAGTTCAGTTGTAAGTTCAGTTCTAGTTCTGTTCTAGTTCTGTCTAGTTCTGTTCTAGTTCTGTTCTAGTTCTGTTCTAGTTCTGTTCTAGTTCTGTTCTAGTTCTGTTCGAGTTCTGTTCTAGTTCTTTCTAGTTCTGTTCTAGTTCTGTTCTAGTTCTGTTTCTAGTTCTGTTCCCTAGTTCTGTTCTAGTTCTGTTCTAGTTCTGTTCTAGTTCTGTTTCTAGTTCTGTTCTAGTTCTGTTCTAGTTCTGTTCTAGTTCTGTTCTAGTATCTGTTCTAGTTCTGTTCTAGTTCTGTTCGAGTTCTGTTCGAGTTCTGTTCTAGTTCTGTTCTAGTTCTGTTCTAGTTTAGTTCGTTTCTAGTTCTGTTCTAGTTCTGTTCTAGTTCTGTTCTAGTTCTGTTCTAGTTCTGTTCTAGTTCTGTTCTTAGTTCTGTTCTAGTTCTGTTCTAGTTGTCTGGTTCTAGTGCTGTTCTAGTTCTGTTCTAGTTTCTGTTCTAGTTCTGTTCTAGTTCGTTTCTAGTTCTGTTCTAGTTCTGTTCTAGTTCTGTTCTAGTTCTGTTCTAGTTCTGTTCTAGTTCTGTTCTAGTTCTGTTCTAGTTCTGTTCTAGTTCTGTTCTAGTTCTGTTCTAGTTCTGTTCTAGTTCTGTTCTAGTCTGTTCTAGGTTCTGTTCTAGTTCTGTTCTAGTTCTGTTTCTAGTTCTGTTCTAGTTCTGTGCTAGTTCTGTTCTAGTTCTGTTTCTAGTTCTGTTCTAGTTCTGTTCTAGTTCTGTTCTAGTTCTGTCTAGTTCGTTCTAGTTCTGTTCGAGTTCTGTTCTAGTTCTGTTCTAGTTCTGTTCTAGTTCTGTTCTAGTTCTGTTCTAGTTCTGTTCTAGTTCTGTTCTAGTTCTGTTTCTAGTTCTGTTCTAGTTCTGTTCTAGTTCTGTTCTAGTTCTGTTCTAGTTCTGTTCTATTTCTGGTTCTAGTTCTGTTCTAGTTCTGTTCTATTTCTGTTCTAGTTCTGTTCTAGTTCTGTTCTAGGTCTGTTCTAGTTCGTTCTAAGTCTGTTCTAGTTCTGTCTAGTTCTGTTCTAGTTCTAGTTCTGTTCTAGTTCTGTTCTAGTTCTGTTCTAGTTCTCTAGTTCTGTTCTAGTTCTGTTCTAGTTCTGTTCTAGTTCTGTTCTAGTTCTGTTCTAGTTCTGTTCTAGTTCTGTTCTAGTTCTGTTCTAGTTCTGTTTAGTTCTGTTCTAGTTCTGTTCTAGTTCTGTTCTAGTTCTGTTCTAGTTCTGTTCTAGTTCTGTTCTAGTTCTGTTCTAGTTCTGTTCTAGTTCTGTTCTAGTTCTGTTCTAGTTCTGTTCTAGTTCTGTTCTAGTTCTGTTCTAGTTCTGTTTCTAGTTCTGTTCTAGTTCTGTTCTAGTTCTGTTCTAGTTCTGTTCTAGTTCTGTTCTAGTTCTGTTCTAGTTCTGTTCTAGTTCAGTTCTAGTTCTTTTCTAGTTCTGCTCTTGTTCTGTTCTAGTTCTAGTTCTGTTCTAGTTTATTCTAGTTCTTTCTGTTCTAGTTCTGTTCTAGTTCTGTTCTAGTTCTGTTCTAGTTCTGTTCTAGTTCTGTTCTAGTTCTGTTCTAGTTCTGTTCTAGTTCTGTTCTAGTTCTGTTCTAGTTCTGTTCTAGTTCTGTTCTAGTTCTGTTCTAGTTCTGTTCTAGTTCTGTTCTAGTTCTGTTCTAGTTCTGTTCTAGTTCTGTTCTAGTTCTGTTCTAGTTCTGTTCTAGTTCTGTTCTAGTTCTGTTCTAGTTCTGTTCTAGTTCTGTTCTAGTTCTGTTCTAGTTCTGTTCTAATTATATTCTAGTTTGTTCTAGTTCTGTTCTAAATATTCTAGTTCTGTTCTAGTTCTGTTCTAATTCTGTTCTAGTTCTGTTCTAGTTCTGTTCTAGTTCTGTTCTAGTTCTGTTCTAGTTCTGTTCTAGTTCTGTTCTAGTTCTGTTCTAGTTCTGTTCTAGTTCTATTCTAGTTCTGTTCTAGTCCTGTTCTAGTTCTGTTCTAGTTCTGTTCTAGTTCTGTTCTAGTTCTGTTCTAGTTCTGTTCTAGTTCTGTTCTAGTTCTGTTCTAGTTCTGTTCTAGTTCTGTTCTAGTTCTGTTCTAGTTCTGTTCTAATTATATTCTAGTTCTGTTCTAGTTCTGTTCTAATTCTGTTCTAGTTCTGTTCTAGTTCTGTTCTAGTTCTGTTCTAGTTCTGTTCTAGTTCTGTTCTAGTTCTGTTCTAGTTCTGTTCTAGTTCTGTTCTAGTTCTGTTCTAGTTCTGTTCTAGTTCTGTTCTAGTTCTGTCTAGTTCTGTTATAGTTCTGTTCTAGTTCTGTTCTAGTTCTGTTCTAGTTCTGTTCTAGTTCTGTTCTAGTTCTGTTCTAGTTCTGTTCTAGTTCTGTTCTAGTTCTGTTCTAGTTCTGTTCTAGTTCTGTTCTAGTTCTGTTCTAGTTCTGTTCTAGTTCTGTTCTAGTTCTGTTCTAGTTCTGTTCTAGTTCTGTTCTAGTTCTGTTTTGTTCTGTTCTAGTTCTGTTCTAGTTCTGTTCTAGTTCTGTTATAGTTCTGTTCTTTCTGTTCTAGTTCTGTTCTAGTTCTGTTCTAGTTCTGTTCTAGTTCTGTTCTAGTTCTGTTCTAGTTCTAGTTCTGTTCTAGTTCTGTTCTAGTTCTGTTCTAGTTCTGTTCTAGTTCTGTTCTAGTTCTAGTGTTCTAGTTCTGTTCTAGTTCTGTTCTAGTTCTCTTCTAGTTTTTTCTAGTTCTCTTCTAGTTCTCTTCTAGTTCTGTTCCAGTTTGTTCTAGTTCTGTTCTAGTTCTGTTCTAGTTCTGTTCTAGTTCTGTTCTAGTTCTGTTCTAGTTCTGTTCTAGTTCTGTTCTAGTTCTGTTCTAGTTCTGTTCTAGTTCTGTTCTAGTTCTGTTCTAGTTCTGTTCTAGTTCTGTTCTAGTTCTGTTCTAGTTCTGTTCTAGTTCTGTTCTAGTTCTGTTCTAGTTCTGTTCTAGTTCTGTTCTAGTTCTGTTCTAGTTCTGTTCTAGTTCTGTTCTAGTTCTGTTCTAGTTCTGTTCTAGTTCTGTTCTAGTTCTGTTCTAGTTCTGTTCTAGTTCTGTTCTAGTTCTGTTCTAGTTCTGTTCTAGTTCTGTTCTAGTTCTGTTCTAGTTCTGTTCTAGTTCTGTTCTAGTTCTGTTCTAGTTCTGTTCTAGTTCTGTTCTAGTTCTGTTCTATCTGTTAGTTCTGTTCTAGTTCTGTTCTAGTTCTGTTCTAGTTCTGTTCTAGTTCTGTTCTAGTTCTGTTCTAGTTCTGTTATAGTTCTGTTCAGTTCTGTTCTAGTTCTGTTCTAGTTCAGTTGTAGTTCAGTTCTAGTTTTTCTAGTTCTGTTCTAGTTCTGTTCTAGTTCTGTTCTAGTTCTGTTCTAGTTCTGTTCTAGTTCTGTTCTAGTTCTGTTCTAGTTCTGTTCTAGTTCTAGTTCTGTTCTAGTTCTGTTCTAGTTCTGTTCTAGTTCTGTTCTAGTTCTGTTCTAGTTTGTTCTAGTTCTGTTCTAGTTCTGTTCTAGTTCTCTTCTAGTTTTCTTCTAGTTCTCTTCTAGTTCTCTTCTAGTTCTGTTCCAGTTTGTTCTAGTCTGTTCTAGTTCTGTTCTAGTTCTGTTCTAGTTCTGTTCTAGTTCTGTTCTTCTAGTTATGTTCTAGTTCTGTTCTAGTTCTGTTCTAGTTCTGTTCTAGTTCTGTTCTAGTTCTGTTCTAGTTCTGCTAGTTTGTTCTAGTTCTGTTCTAGTTCTGTTCTAGTTCTGTTCTAGTTCTGTTCTAGTTCTGTTCTAGTTCTGTTCTAGTTCTGTTAGTTCTGTTCTAGTTCTGTTCTAGTTCTGTTCTAGTTCTGTTCTAGTTCTGTTCTAGTTCTGTTCTAGTTCTGTTCTAGTTCTGTTCTAGTTCTGTTCTAGTTCTGTTCTAGTTCTGTTAGTCTGTTCTAGTTCTGTTCTAGTTCTGTTCTAGTTCTGTTCTAGTTCTGTTCTAGTTCTGTTCTAGTTCTGTTCTAGTTCTGTTCTAGTTCTGTTCTAGTTCTGTTCTAGTTCTGTTCTAGTTTCTGTTCTAGTTCTGTTCTAGTTCTGTTCTAGTTCTGTTCTAGTTCTGTTCTAGTTCTGTTCTAGTTCTGTCTAGTTCTGTTCTAGTTCTGTTATAGTTCTGTTCTAGTTTGTTCTAGTTCTGTTCTAGTTCTGTTCTAGTTCTGTTCTAGTTCTGTTCTAGTTCTGTTCTAGTTCTGTTCTAGTTCTGTTCTAGTTCTGTTCTAGTTCTGTTCTAGTTCTGTTCTAGTGTTCTAGTTCTGTTCTAGTTCTGTTCTAGTTCTGTTCTAGTTCTGTTCTAGTTCTGTTCTAGTTCTGTTCTAGTTCTGTTCTAGTTCTGTTTAGTTCTGTTCAGTTCTGTTCTAGTTCTGTTCTAGTTCTGTTCTAGTTTGTTCTAGTTGTGTTCTAGTTGTGTTCTAGTTCTGTTCTAGTTCTGTTCTAGTTCTGTTCTAGTTCTGTTCTAGTTCTGTTCTAGTTCTGTTCTAGTTCTGTTCTTGTTTTCTAGTTCTGTTCTAGTTCTAGTTCTGTTCTAGTTCTGTTCTAGTTCTCTTCTGTTCTAGTTTTCTTCAAGTTCTGTTCTAGTTCTGTTCCACTTCAATTCTTTTTCAGTCTGAATCGAAATATTACATATTTTGTAAATAAACCATTTTCAGGCATTCCCTTAAAAGAAACTTATTTTGAAAAACAAACTTTCGCTTTAAAATACTTTCTTAAAGAACATTGATTTTCTAATTGAAATCCCGGCACATGTTATTATTAACACTTAGAAAAGAGACTAAATTATCTAATTATGTTTATTGACTCGACTAAATAAACAAATATAAAACATGCAAAATCGAATCTAATTAACCAAAGATAAAAAATTTTGTTTTACTAACGATAGAAAATTACATTAATGAACTTCAAAATGCTAGAGTTTTAGCGTTTGCATAAATAGTTTATTCAAAACTTTTCAACATGAAAGGTAAGTAGTTGTTATAACAAAAAATTTAATTGAATTAAAAGAATCTCTGTTCTTAGCTGTTCTAACGATCTTGTTAATGATTGTGAGTTGTTATGGCTATGACTCTCAGCAATTATACGATCAGCTGTGTAAGGAAAGTTTTAACGGTTTTTTTCCTCATCCCGAAGACTGTCATAAGTTTATAAGATGTAGCCATGGCAAAGCTTATGTGTTTTATTGCCCAGCAAATTTACTGTGGCATCAAGAGATCGAATCATGTGATTATTCTTATCGTACGAAGTGTAAATTTCATGAAGTTAAGAATGAAGATCATAAGACTACAGTGGAGTATTTAAAGTCATTTATTGAACACAAATCAAAACCAAATTTAACGGCGAAGTTTTATTATGTTAAAAGCATGATTAATAACTATAACAGAACAGTATTAACAGAGGAAACTCTTGCTGTTAATGTAACAGAGGCAATAATAACAGATTTTGACAAAACCTCTATAGAAATTAACGAAAATCTCAACAGTTCTATAAATTTAAAGGAAAATATCTTAAAGAAAAGATTGACTAAAGCAACTAAATGTAATAAAAACAATAACAGAACTATAATAACAAAGAGAACAGTTGCTGTTAAAACAACAGAGCCCACATTAACAGATTTTTCAAAAACTCTGCGGAAATTACAGAAAATATTAACAATTCATTAAATTTAATAAGTAAGCTAACAGGAAAAGTGAATAAAGTAAATACAACCAAAAATTTTATTAATACTGTTAATAACACAACAAATTCTACTGTCAACTTTAACAGCAACATGTTAAAGAAATTAACAGCTACTGATCATGTTATTAATACAACAGAGACTTTGTTAAAAAGTTTTCAAAAAGCTGTAACTAAAATGTCTGTAAATAACGTTACTCCACTAAACTTAACAGAAATTGAAACTGTTAAGTTAACAGAAGTAATGCAGACAACTGAATATGCTGTTAATTTAACAGAAAATTCTACTAAAAACAACATGACAATGTTAAAAAAACTAAAAAGTCCTAAAAATGTACCTGTTTAAAAAAGAGTAAGTTAAAATTATTAACAGAAGATTCAGCTGGAATAACAGAGAGTTCTGTTAAAACTTTTAAGACTACAGAGAGATTACGTGAAAAAACAACAGAGCGAGAACATGAAAATGTTATTGAAACTGAAGAGAATCCATTAAAATCAACAGCAGAAAGTTCTGTTAACATTTCTCAATTCACAGATAGCGTGCTTGATAAAATAACAGAAGAAGAGAATGAAAAAGTTAAAGAGAATCTGGAGAGTCCATTAAAGGCAAACGAAAATAAAGATGGAACTTTAACAGAAAATACAACATATACTGTTACTACAGAACATCATCAGGCCCTCAGTACTAAACCCTCAATATTAACAGATATGGCTGCTAATCCCATAACAGACTTGGAGAGAAAAACCACAACATTAACAGCATTTTACAAAACAACAGAAATGTTCTCCAACTCTTCACAATCAAGTGAAAATATACTTCCACTGCAAGAAAATATTGTAGAAAATACAGATGAAACTGTTGCTGCTGTTAACATTTCATTAACAGAATTCAAATTTACAGCAGTTTTAAAAAATTTAACCGATTATAGGGAAAACACTTTCAATTTAACAGAAATTTAAAACATCCAAATAACATTGTTACTTTGAATGATTCTTATCTAACAGACATGTTTTCTGTTAAATTAACAGCTCAACCTAATGTTAACTTTACAGTAAATGAAGAAAATTCCGTTAATACTCTTAATTTAACAGAAAATATTAAACAACATAATAACAGTGGCTTTTTAACTGATTCTTATTTAATGGATAACACTTCTGTTAACACAACTGTTAAACCAAATGTTAACTTGACAGTTAATGCAGAAAATTCTGCAAATACTTTTAATCTAACAGAAAATGTTAAAGAAATTAATAACAGTCACATTTTAACTGATTATAATTTAACAGACACAATTTATGTTACAGTGACTGATAAATTAGATGTTATTTTAACAGTAAATACTGATAATGCTGTTAAACTAAATGTTAACTTAACAGTTAATGTCGAAAATCCTGCTAATACTTTGAATTCAACAAAAAATCCCCACAACATAAATAACAGTGATATTTTGACTGATTCCCATTTAAAAGATAACTTTTATAATAACATAACTGTTCAACCAAATGTTAACTTAACAGTTAAAGCAGAAAATCTCGCTAATTCTTTCAATTCAACACAAAATCCCCTAAATATTAATAAAAGTGAAATTTTGACAGATTCTTTATTAACAGATAACTTTTCTGTTAACACAGTTGTTAAACCAAATGTTAATTTAACAGTTAATGCAGAAAATCCTGTTAATACTTTTAATTCAACTGAACATTTCATTGCAATTAATATTAGTGATATTTCAATTGATTTTTATGCAACAGAAAACTTTCCTGTTGTGCTAACAGTTAAACCAAATGTTAACTTAACAGTGAACACAGAAAATCCTGCTAACACTTTGAATTCAACTGCAGTTAACAGCATGATAACAGAATCAGCTAAAAACATTTCTTACTTCTTCAGCTTAACAGAAAATTTTACTGAAGTTATTGGGAACACTGTTAACTTAACAGAGAAAGTGAAAGAACATAACGACAGTACTGTTAATCCTTTTGAATATCCGGTTACAAAGGAGATATCAAGATATTTATCTGAAAAATCAACAACAAAAATTTCTACAGAATTAACTACTGAAAATAATGACTCAGCTAATTTAACAGTTATAACTGCTAACACAACAGAGGCAAATTATCCGTCAGATTCATCAACAGTCTTCCTTACAACTTCAACAACCAAAAATCCAATACATTTTTCAGATTTAACAGAAAATTCGACAGAACCGCTTAACATTAGTATTATAAGAGAGTTTACCGTTAATTTAACAGAAGAGATAACAGTACCTACAAAATTTCCTTACAGTTTAACAGAAATTTCTTTACGCAATGTTACAAATGAAAATTTAACTACCGAAAGTTCGAACAGTCGTTTTTATCTCACAGAAGCCTTCACAGAATTCGAAATTGAAAATAATACTTTAACAGACCTAACTGTTAATATAACAGAGCGAATTGAAACTGTACCCTCAACTATAGAGGTTATGTTAAAAGAATCGTCAAAAAATGTTCTTAATACATTTAATTTAAGCGATAGTTCTACAGAATACCTTAACATTAATACGGAAACAGACATTACTGTTAACTTAACAGCAGAAGAGAGTGAAACTACTACTAATTCCTTTAATTCAACAGAAAATTATGAAAATACTTTAAATTCATTTACGATGGGAACTAATCCACTTATGACAGTTATAACAGCAACTATTAAGGAAAATCTGAAACATTCTGTTAATGTTGAAAATGTTACAGAATCCATGATGACAGAGGTGACAGTAATAGAAAATTTACATAACATTTTGAGCCAATTTTCCGAGGCCACCACTGAAGAGATGAAAACAGATTTCATAGAAAATAATTCAACAGAAAGTTCTCCGAAAAATGTTAATAACATAAAGTTAACATCAAATTTAACAGAATCTTCAGATATCAGCAAAGGTTTGGAAACCCAAAACAACCAAGAGTTATCATCTTCAACATTACAAATTGTAACTTTGACTTCACCCACTACTTCTTATGACTATCAATTAGTTGATGTTACCACAGTAGATCCTCGTTTGCCGTTTCGATCGATCGAGTGTGTGGGACCCAATAATCGACGACAATTTAAGGCCAGCGAATGTTATCAATACTATCAATGTTTTGGCGGTTGGGCTTTTCTGCTCAATTGTCATGAGGGTTGGCGTTTTGAGGCAACAATGGGACAATGTGTTGTGGATACGAATAAAGAATGTGAATTGTAAATAATATTTGAAATAAAAATTTTGAAAATTTAAAATTGAAAAATTTGGTTTTGAATTTTGAAAAATTAATATAATTTTAAGTGAAAAACTAGATTTTTAGTGAAAAATTTAATTTTTTGTAAAAATTCGAATTTTTAGTGAAAATTTTATTTTTCGAATAATTTGAAATTCGAATAGTTTATTCGAGTAAATTTTAGTAAAAACTAGTTTTATTCGAGTTAAAAAATAATTCGTATAAAAACCGAATAATTCGATCGAGAATTTTTGAATTTTAGTAAAAACGAAAAAAAAATTTCAAGTAAAAAATTATTCGAATAAAAACCGAATAATTATTCGAATAATTCATTCGAGTATTTTTGAATTTTTGTAAAAAACGAGAAAAAAAGATACAAATTTGTATTTTAGTTTTTTTGTTTTTGGCATAAAAAATAAAATTTAATCGAATCAAAATATTATTCGAATTTTTGATTTTGAATTGGTTCTAAAATAAAACATTAGTCGGATTAAAAAAATTCAAGACAAATTACAAAAAAAAAATATTCGAATAAAAACCGAATAATTAATCTATTTAATTATTCGAATATTTTGGAATTTTTGTTAAAAACAGAGAAAAAATAATGATACAAGTTAAAAAAATATTCGAATTTGTATTTTTATTTTTGCAAGAAAAGATAAAAATTTATTCGAATAAAAAAACTATTCGAATACAAATTTTTGATTTTGAATTGGTTCGAATAAAACATTAAAAAAAATTCAAATAAAAACCGAATAATTATTCGAATAATTTATTCGAGTACTTTTGAACTCTTGTAAAAAAAGAGAAAATTTTTATATTTAGTTTTTTAATTTTAATAAAAAAAACTTTAAATTTAATCGAATGAAAAAATTATTCGAATATAAAATTTTGATTTTGTATTGGTTCGAATAAAAGATTAGTCGGATGATTGCTTACTTTAATAAAAAAAAATTCAAGACAACTTACAAAAAAATATACGAATAAAAACCGAATAATCTATTCGAGTTTTTTAATTTTTTGTAAAAAAAAGAGAAAAATAGTTTTACGAGTTAAAAAAATATTCAAATAAAAATTTGTATTTTTAGTTTTATAATTTAATAAAAAAAATAGTCGAATGAAAAAAATTATTCGAATAAAAATGTTTAATTTTTGTAAAAAAAAAGTAAAAATTTATTCGAATGAAGACATTATTCGAATATAAAATTTTGATTTTCTTACTTAAATTAAAAAAACTGAAGACTAATTACAAAAAATATTTGCATAAAAACCGAATAATTTATTCAAAAAATAGTAAAAGAGAAAATAATATCACGAGTTATTTTATTCGAATAAAAATTTTTATTTTTTTAATTTAAGTAAAAAAATAAAAATTTATTCGAATAAAAAAACTATTCGAATATTAATTTTTGATTAAAAACCGAATAAATTTAAATATTAGAAAGCGAAATAACACGAAAAATGGAATAAATTACTCGAAGAGATTTTTAATTTAAAAATTTCGAATAATTGGTTCGAATAAAAAATTAATCGAATAATTTCTTAAAACAATTTAAAAAAATAAATTGAGAAAATTTCCAAAAATAAAACTATTCGAATAAAAACCTAATAATTATACGAATTATTTATTTGAGTTAGTTTATGTTTTTTAGTAAAAAAATGAAAATTTATTCGTATAAAAATTTTTTCAAAATTCAATTAATATTAATTTAATGAAAACCAAAAATTTATTCGAATAATTTTCGATTATGAATTTTTTAAAAAAAAAAATTTTCGCATAAAAATTATTAATTGAAACGAATACTAATTTTAATAAATACAAATTTAATAAAAAAAATTATTCAAATAAATTACCCGATAAGTTTTTGAATTTAAAAATTTCGAATAAAACATTAGTCGAATGATTTCTTACTAATATTAAAATAAGTCCAGAAAAATGTAAAACAACTAATCGAATAAAAAACGAATAATTATTCGAGTATTTGAATAAATAAAAATATTTGAATAAATAAATTATTCGAATAAAAATTAATTCCAATACATAGAAGAAAATGTATTTTGAAAAAAATTTTACGAATATAAAAATATTGGAATTATAAATTTATTCGAATAAAAAAATAAATTTTATTCGAATAATACGAAATATGAATATTAGGAAAAAACCTAAAAATTTAATAGTATAAATAATGCAGTAACAATATTGAATATAAGAAGAAAAACATATTCGAGTAAAAACCGAATAATTATACAAATAAATTAATCGATTATGTTTTTTAAATTTGAATAAAAAAATTCTCATTAACAACTATTAATAAAAAACCGAATAATTTTTTTTTGAAAATTTTCATTAACAAGTAAATTTTTATATAAAAAAGTGTTCGTATAGAAACGATTAATTAAAACCCGAATAATTATTCGAATAAATTATTCGATTAACTTTTTTTAATTATTAAAAAAAAATCCTTAAACTGTTTCAAATTATAATTTGATTTTAATTTTGTCTTTTTTCAACATCTTTTTATGAAAAATTTGCCAAAAAAAAAAAAACTTTTGTTCAAAAATATAATAAAACATATGTTTTATCAATTATCTCAACATTCATTCATTAAAAACTATATTTATATTTCCCATAAATTTCACTTTTTTTGAACTTGAATACAATTCTTCAGACAACACCAAACAATTTCGTTTTTCTTTCGTTAACACACCCTAAAGTGTATTTGTTATTTATCTAATTTTTTTTTTTTAAATATAGTATTTTTTTCTAAAATAACATTGTTATCGTAATTTTGTTCATTAATTTATTTTTTTATAAGTTTGCTACCGGTCTTGCAGAAATATTTTGTCTTAAATACCTGTTTTTCTTGGAAGTTATCATTTTTGTCTTTCTCCTAAAAGAAAAAAAAATAAAGATAAAAATCAATTAAATATTATTGAATTTTTATAGATAATGATCAAAATTTGATAAAATAAATGTTAAAAATTAATGTTTTGTGATATTTTAATGGCAAAACATTTAGTTCTTTAGAGAAATATATAAAAGCTGTAAGTATTTTGAAAATATCAGAGAGTTACCATTTGACTCTAGCAACTACAAGTGCTCTAGAGACTTTAGGCAAGAAAACTATTAAAAGTGGAATTTTTTTTGAAACTAAACTTTTCGTCGAAAACCAAAAGTTTAAAGGATACTTGAAATGAGAGGTGAGTGCAAGTGAAAGAAAAAAACTAAAATTTAAAGTGATAAAAATATACGATAAGAAAAATACTTCAATAAAAATGAAAAAAAAAAATTAAAATCGAATAATTATTCGAATAACATATTCGGTTACCGAAAAAAAATTAATAATTTACACAATAAATAATTTTAATAAAATAAACATATTATTTTATTAATAAATTAAAAGTTTTTTAAAAATGACAATATTATTCGATTAACATTTTTCATCATCAATTTTAAACCAAAAGTATATTTTATTCAAATAATTTATTCTTGCATTTCAAAAAAGTTATAAAATTAAATTTTTTATTCGAATAAAACATTTAACAACAACCGAATAATTATTCGAATGAATTATTCGTTTTCATTTTCAAATTTTCCAATATAATTCTTAACTGAATATTCTTTAACTATAAATTATTCGATTATTTTCTAGCTAAATATTTTAAAATAATTTTGCGGATAATTTTTGAGCTCATTTGAATTAAGTTTTAACATTTTAGAGAAAAAATAAAATTTTATTCGCATAAAACATTTTACAGCAACCGAATAATTATTCGAATAAATTATTCGTTAGACTTAATAAATTTTCAAAACTTTAAATACAATAAAAATAAATGAGAAATAACATTCGAATACAAATTTTTAACAAAAAATCAAATTTTAAAAAAAATTTCACAGCAATCGAATAATTATTCGAATAAATTATTCGATTTCATTTTCAAATATTTTAATACTAATTATTCAATATTAAAAAAACTAAAGAAAAAACAAACAGAATTTTTTAAATATTCGACAAGCGTTTGTAAAATACTCGATTAATTATTCGAATAAATTAATAAATTTTCAAAACTTTAAATACAATAAAAATAAGTGAGACATAACATTCGAATACAAAATTTTAACAAAGAAATAAAATATATTAGAATAAATTATTCGATTATTTTCTAGCTCAATATTCTCTAAATAACTTTACGAATAATTTTACAAATCAGTTGAAGAATTAAGTTTAAAAATTTTGGAAAAAATAGAAATTTATTAGAATAAAATATTTTACAACAAGCGAATAATTATTCGTTTCATTTTCAAATATTTTTTAATATTCAATATTAAAAACTAAAAAAAGAAAAAATAATATTTTATTCGAATAAAAAATTTCGAATAAAATTTTTGAACTAACCCAAATATTATTCGAATAAATTATTCGCCTTCTTTTACAAATTTTTAACCAAAAAATATTATTCGGATATAAAATTTTAATGAATAAACTGAATAATTCTTCGAATTAATAAAGAATTAAAAATAAAATTTGCTTAATTATTGGAATATAAGTTTTAAACCCGAATAATTATTCGAATAAAACATACGATTATTATATAAAAATATTATATTAAAATTTCCTCTCTCTCCCTTTCAGGTTTCCTTTTAGCTGTAGCCTTTGTAGCTACTCTTGCTATAACTGCAGCTGTTGATGAAGAATGTGTGCAGCGTAAACTTCGCGGTCTACCCGTACACTGGCCCAATCCCACCGACTGCTCCTGTTTCTATCGTTGCACCAATAAGAATATCAAACGTGAACTCTCGTGTCCCGAGGGTAAGGAATACAATCCCAAAACTGGTCGTTGTGGCAACAAGGGTAAAAATCTCTGCCGTCTAAGTTTGATAGCACCATTGGCCGCTGCTGTAGACAATCCTTGTGCTAAAGAAGTTTCCGGTACTTTTGTAGCGGATCCTAAGAGTTGTCGCAGTTATATGATCTGCAACAATAACTTAGCCTATCCACAGACA